TCTAGGCCTTTCTCCTCTACTTCCTTTGGTGATTGCTCGTTCCAGTCGACTTCTGATAAGGTGATAGGCTCTGGCTCCGACCGCATAATTGCAGCACATGAAGATGTTACGACGATGCGCCGTACAGACGATCTGGGCAACGTTAAGCAACAACGATATTAAATCAGTGAATATATGCGCACCCATATTTGGCGGCACTGGTCAGCATGCCTACCGTGCCCTTCACAGCGGGTACGATCAGCTCTGCACGCAATGAGATATCAAACCGACAGTCAGGAAGGCAGTACACACCTTGGGGGTCGCCCACGCTCAACTGGACGGGCGACGCTGTATGAGCGATCGCATCCACGCCCTTAACTGCTTCATCGAAAGCCCCGTCCTGTCCTGGCCGTCAGGATCTGCTCATTAGAGAGAATGGTAGATGCACACCTTGGTGATATCGTCAACCACGACGATTTCCAGCTTGTTGCCATACGATTTGAACATGTTCTTCAAATGTTCACCTTTCGCCTGGCTGCGCACCGTCCCTCGCACTGCAAAGCCTCTTTCTAAAAGGGTGCGAACGATCCATATTGCAATGTAGCCATTCGCACCGGAGACGAGAACTTTGCTGGGAGAACTGATTGATGGCATAGAGGGCTTGAGGTCGTACTGGCGATGAAAGTGTATATATAGTTTGGAATCGTGGATTACTAATGGCCAAAATCTGAATAAGCCTTCGGGGACGCCGTGAAAAAGGACCCCGACACAAAACTCATTGCTCATTGCAAAGCAAAGGTCATGCAAAGGTTCTTTTCGAATTTCAACGGAGGCCAAGGTTGTCACACGAACCGACAACATTATTCCCGTCGAGCGTACGCTGGCAGAACGTGTATCAGGGAAACAGCAAATGGAACGGCAATATATTACACACCTGGGCCGTAGAGCCGCCACGACTCCAAATATCTCAACATTCGCTCCACTAGGACAACACGCTGTTCTCCAACTCCAGCACTCGCAGTGCGACGACATCCATCAGATACACAATCGAAAACGCCATTTGCAGGACGAAGCGGGAGTTGTTGAGGAAGAAATTTTTATTTTCCTGCACAGAGATGTACACATGAGAGTAGAAGACTAAGAGCACGATGCATGAGAGTTAGTCATTGGGCGAACTTGAGTCGAAGCAAGATTTCCAAAAAGGAATTCCAGATGCACGTGGCACGTGATTGAATGGATCCTCATAAATCAAAATAATAGTTTATTTATTGTAAAATCAAACGACAATACTTTGGAAATAACTTCTCCTTAGTTCTCCTTCCAAGGTCCCGAGAGTAGGGAACTTTTCCGTATCTGCGCATATCTCGAGATGCTTGCCAGCCTCGCCGCCATCAACCCTTGGCCGAAGGAGCGTTACTGATTCGGTGCCGATGAGTCTCAGCAGATACTGATTCATAAAGGAGTCGAGACATCGGTGCAGATGTCTAACGTTGTAACTCTCTTCCAACTACGACCACGAGCAATACCTCACCCAGGCTAACTGTGACTTCTAAGCGCGTATCTTGACAAGTTGAGCCCATCCTAATTTGATATCACAGAAATAAATGTCTGCCAAGCCTATCACCCCTCAAAGTGGTGCGTAACCGTCTGTGCCAGTCCACTCACTGTAATTAACATCTACCAACAGGACCCGGAGGCGAACTTCCCCTCGAGTTGATAGACAAAATCGTTGAAAGCAATAGGGATGAAGAGGACTCTTTGCTCGCATCATCCTGCGTATCAAAATTGTGGCGCGTAGCTTCCCTGCGATATCTCTTCTCCATGGCCGAGTTCTCGTACCACGAAGATTTCACACGTTGGCGTGACATCGGATCCCATTTGCCCCAGGTACCTCTTTTTGTTAAGGAGGTAGTGTTCGAACCTGAGGGTCGATTTGGACCTGGGCGTCGTTTCGAGTTTATGGAGGGCGATGTTATATCATGGCCGAATCGGACCGACCTGCTGGAGGAGCCAGAATCTTTGTCCAATCCTTCAGATATTAAGCTCCCTGACATGCCACGAGTGCATAGATTAGTCTGGAAAACCTCATCAATTCCGATATCCTGCACGCCAGAAACACGGCAGTTTATTTCGACGTTCTCCTCCCTAAAGGAAGTAGAATTCGAAGGAAGATTTGCAACCGTCTCTGATGCGAAGGAATTTCTTGGACTCCTCCCCCAGATAGAGGTTCTTAATATTGAAGGGATCGACATCGACGAGGCAGGCATTTCTGGACAGTCCCCCGCCTTTACCGGTGACATGACGAACCTTCGTAGACTATCAATTGAAGAATGCGAAACGTCACTAGACTGGCTAGTTGATGATGTCCTGGCAGTGTCATGTCCCGCCAATCTTCAGAGTATCGGCTACGAAAACAGCCCCCCTTTCTCCCAGAAGGCATTCACCCGTCTCGTCGCCCTTTCCTACAAGTCCCTCCAGGAGCTGAGCATTGAACCTCCGCGTTATGATGATCAGCCAGGTGCGCAGCCCTCGTATATTTCCTTGACTTTTTGTTCATTTCTCAATAGGAGGCTGGACAAACCCGCCTCGCTTCACAAACCCGTCTTTCCCTTCATTGACATCTCTCGCTTTCTGCATGATCAAATTGGGTAGAATGCCCATCCACATCATGTTTTCAATGAATTGGTGCCTCAGAATGATAAAGGTCCTCCCTCCGGCTCCGGAAATGACTTCTCTCACGATGAACTTTTACTCTAAAGATTCTGAAGACATTGATGAGACTGTCGTTAACCAGTCGTTTGATTGGAGGAAACTGTCTGATCTCATTTCGGAGCGGTTCCCAAAGCTGGAAAGATTCATTGTAACATTAACAATGGATTTTCAAACTGACATGAAGGCAAAAGCATCCACAGAGGCGATCCTTAACGAGAGGCTACATCATTTCGGGAAGAAACTTGTAATTGAATGGGGTGAGAGTCTCCTGTCCATGTTTGTGTTTACACATCTAACAGCTTTGTTGAAGAGGACTAGAACCCTCGCTCGAGTAATAGTGTTAACTCGGATTTAAATTAGAAAACCACCTTAATTGGCCGATTATTGTGTTTCGCATGCACCGGTGAACAGGCGACTTCGTTATTGTATTTAATGTCGAGACACGGTTTGTGAATGTATGGATTGGCTACCAGAATAGTCTTCCATGCCCTGCTGGGAACGCACAAGCTTATTTTTGGAATTAATGACGAGCAAGACCCGAAACTTGAAGCTGACTTGGAAAGAAATTCGAAGTGACTTAAACACAGTTAACCAAAAATTCAGGTGCGTTCAGCCAAGGTAGGGCAACCTGGCCAATTTGGTAAGTAGTAAGTATGCGAGACTGTTCTTGGTCGCGCCTACATGCGTACGGGCCGCAGACGATCAGGTGATCGTGAATGGAGACAGGTCTTATGTCAGCATCTCCCGTCCGACCCCAACCGTCATCAGCGTCGGACCATATATCTCCTCTACGAATTGTTATCAACATTTTCTCGCCAACTTTGTCCCTGCGCTGTGGTCTTTTAGAGCAGCCCGAGCCATTCAGGCGAACTGAGCGACAGTGCCTTCAGGAGAGTTTCTGGAAATTTCTATCATCGTACGGGAGCTGGCGCGCGCGTCACAGTACTCGAGTGGTCGGGTATTTTGCAGACAACATCGTGTTCCAGGGGTGGATGGCGGGCGTCGTTCAGGATTGTTTTGGGAAGGACATTCGGTGACCAAAGGTGCATCAAGCCCTCTGCGTGACTACGAGCTGACATTGATGGTCATCTCCCTCTCTCTCTATCTCACAAATCCCTTCGCAGACACCCCAGGAACTTGCTAGTCAAAAAAATCAATATCTCTGGATCCCACTCGCGCCGGTGAACCCTCACTATGTCAAGTCTCCCATTCCTTTAGGTTACCAGCACAGGCATCCAGCTGCGCACCGACTGGCTGGTGGACCTGAGGCCATGCACGTCCGGCTCTTTGACAAACACTATCTCAAACATGCTCGGCGGTGCATACACCTTTCGAAAGGACACGGGCGACATATGCGGTCGCATCCTCAGCAACAATATCGCACAGGACGTCTTGCATCAAGGCCGGCGACAAGGCGCCAAAGACTACTCGCTCGCCATGTTGAGATATGCTGTTTTCAAAGACCACGACGTGTGTAATGCTCGCTCCTTCGTTTTCCTATCGTTCATTTTCACAGCTCGCAGTAGTCAACACATCAAGAGCGACCACACTGGTTGCATGTGTCATCGTTCAATGGCTTTTCGCATGTAGAGGTGCTGGTCCAGAAGTGCAGGTACGTGCTTCTGCTGAAACATTGCTCTATACTGAAAATATATCTCCAGAGATAATGACTTGCAGACACAAGTGAGCTAGAAGTCCAACTCCGAGTACGTCAACGCCAAGGACGCCTTCTATTGCGCAGGGAGAAGACTTTCACCTGTTTTACACGCACCGTCGGTCATAATTGCAACCGCTGGCAAGGCAACTCGAAAATCACTCTAGGTGACAATTCTCAACGTTCTCGACTGGGACCCGGTGAACCCGACCTTGAATTCGCTGAACGTCTGACGGAGCAGCAGGCTAGACAGGTATTACTTCAAAAAACACTGTCCTTCGTGATCTGATTTATCTGCAGGCCCATTTCACCCTTCACGATACAATCTGTGCCCGAAATTCCGTTCGAGCACGGGAGCGCAAGAAGGCAGCTAATTTTAACGTTCGGGGCAAAGTCAAAGGAACGCAAAAGCAAACCAGGGAGCCAAGATTTCTTTCAACAGCCCTTCGCGGTGAGAGCTTTACCGTCGTTTCGTTCTCCTCCTAGACCCCAGCGGAATCATATACCTAGACAACATCAAACCCATCGATGAATCGCAGGATCTCGGTGATCCTCTTGTCGACAGAGTCGAACAGGGCATAGAAATGCTGAGGGTTGCCCACTAGGAAGACGAGGACATTATCAACACCTCACTGTTGGAGGGAAACTGATCGTTGGCCTTATGGTCTAGTAGCATGATTCCTCGTTTGGGTTTGATCCTAGTGATTGATTGATGATCGAGGAGGTCCTGGGTTCAACTCCCAGTGAGGCCCAATATTTTTATCCGTTATCTAACGGTTATTATAATTGAATTGTTAGCGCTCGCTGCTCGCTGCTCAGTGCTCACGCCTTCTAGAATCCGGAATCTATTGTCCAAGCTCGATTCGGGTCATTCAATGTATTTTCGAAGCAGAAAACTTGAGCATCTATTTCTCTATATAACTATACCAAAACCACGTTAGCGGGTACGTATGTTTATTCAGCGGAATAAAAGGGATAGTCTATGTATCCTGTTGCAACTTCCCCAGTCAAGTAAAACGTCGAACGATTGTACGGTGTAAGAGGTAAATTCTTCTTCAGTTTCACAGTGATGTCAGGCTGCCGAAAGGACACTGTTAGTCTCATCGACCACGTTGAATCCTACGAAAGAACACTCACATTCGAGATGAAGTATCGCCCAAACGCAATGATGTCGCCTTTAGTATCAGCAGTCTCCATGGCGCTCTCTCTAGTATATGCGCCCGCTGAAATGAGCGGCCTCGGTGCCCATATGTCACGTATAAAGTCGTTCGACTCGCGCGCATCTATCTCATCGAGACTCCTAGTCGTGATGCCCGTAACCCTGGGCTCCACGAGATGGATATACGCGAGGTCTGAGTGTCTTTCCTTGATCTGGGAGACGTAGTATGAGAAAGTAGGGATGGGGTCCTTCATACCCATGTCCATGAATGTCGACCACGGGCTCATCCTGACGGCTGTGCGCTGCGCTCCAACGGCCCTGACAACGGCGTCGATGACCTCTAACCCAAATCGAGCACGGTTCTCGATGCTCCCCCCATATTCATCCGTACGCTGGTTGGACACGTCCTGGAGAAACTGGTCGACGAGGTATCCATTTGCACCATGAATTTCGACGCCGTCAAAGCCAGCCTTGTGAACAGCATCGGATGCTGCGCGTGCGTAGAGCTCGTGGTACTCGTGGATCTCTTTGGTGGTGAGCGCGCGTGGGGTTTCGGAGGAGTGGATTTTGATGGGGGAGGGACCGACGAGATCAAGAGAAGGGTCTTCTTCTTTGAGAGCGGAGGAGTCTGCCGCACGTCCCAAAGCCCAGAGCTGGCAGAATATGAAACTGCCCTTGGCATGGACAGCGTCGGTTACCTGTTGTATAGTGAGATGGGTTTTGAGAAATAGAAATTCAACGCACCTCCTTCCACGCGTCTAGCTGTTCTTGTGTCCACAGACCGGGTGCGTATTTGAAAACCCCAGCTTTCTGAGCGATAAAGGTGCCTTCCGTAATGAGGAGGGTGCCGGGATCGCTACCTCTCTGCGAGTAGTACTCCTTCACGACGGAAACATACGGAACGTGACCTTTCTCCGACGCCTTGTTTCGCGTCAGCGGAGCGAGCACGATACGGTGGTTTAGCGTAAGGTTGCCCACTTTGATGGGCTGGAAGAGTTTGGAATCGGTCATGGTCGATAAATCGACCACTGGACGTGGTGGCTTTTATACCATTGTTGCGCATGCGGGAGTTTCTATTCCTTATCGAGTAAAACTGCCATGCCGGTAATCGGACCATCGACGCCCCATCGTTTAGTAAGGATTTTCGGACGTTTCGTTCCGATGTTGTCATAGACTTTGGCTAAATGTCTGAAGGAAGTGCGATTGACCGCGAGTCAGTCGTGCTCGGAAAGTAGCCGGTTTACTTTTTTCGTAGGCCAGAGCCATACGCGAGCTGCGGCACTGCGGATGCGGCAAGCGTATATCGTGGCTATACAGTATTTCTCCTAAAAGATGAATTAAGCTTGAGTCGCGTCTTTCAGCTTCAACTATAACTAGGGCGGCCTACTGAGCATGGCTACTTGCGAGCCTACTACATCGGTTCTTGGTATATTCACGCGATTGCGGATAATGCATGTGCATATTTGTTGGATGAGAATATCTAATCGACCGACTGAAAGTACGGTGTTAGGCTCTTAGTTTTGTCGTTCAATCGCCGAACACTTACTTCTAAGGTTCAGACAAGCCTCTTTGACACCACCTATCCCTCGACGCTCCTATGCTCGAGAGGAAGAGCGCTGCAGCGACGTGATGGGAAGAAAGCGAGAGGCGTATTACTTGCAAAATGAGAGAAAACTCGTCACCCTTGCAACGAGTATGATGACAAGGACGTGATGTCACCAGCTTTGGCTCGTCTGAGGCAAAGTAGTAACCGCATATCAAGTCTTCAGCGTCAGCTCCGGTTCGACAAGCATAACGAGATCCTAGTTACGCCAGGAATTTCAGGTAGGAGAGATACAGGATATTCACCGAATCAAGGACTGGTTCATTCATATCCTCTCCTCTGTTTACTCCATAGAGCGTACACGTTATTTGGCGAGACCTTTCGAACGGCTACTTCGACCATGTTCTTCGCGTCAAGCTGTCCCGAACAAATGCAATAGCCCAGTAGAATGCCTGGATCTCGCGCCCAGAGCGATGCAATGCAGCTTTTCTGTTACACGCGAATAGGATATGGAAGAGCTCGACGTGGTAGCAGGACGGAAGACAGTTTCGGCTAACTCCGACGCATCTCTACCACCACCACCATGATCCTTCTTGCAATGAGCCAGACAGGACGTGTGCATAATCCTCGACGTCGGCGCATGCATGTGGGCTTTTTCATGGCTCAATGTATCCTGGGGCCCAACGCTGCTGAAATCTGGGCATGCTAGCAGGAAAGGGTAAGCCTTTATTTCACTTGTCTTGGTCTTTTTTGACCGCATATTATTATATCCAGCTCATCTGGCTCGAATATACTCTATCAGTGCGCTAGGATGATATTCTCTAAGGTTACACCAGGCCCGACCAGCTGGTCGATGCAAGTCCACCTGTCCTGGGCCGCGGTACCACCACAGGACCAGCACTATATACCCAGGCAACGCGACGCGTTGAAATACGACATTCAACTTTGTAGGGAGCGCGACCGTGGAAATTGGTATCGCTGCGGTTGCACAGTCGATGGCGTAGGGATTTTTCCGTATGGGCCATTTGTGCTCCTTTGTTTTCATATACTAACACATTTTTACAGGAGCCTATGGCAAACTCTTTCTTCTCGAATTTCACCATGGAACTGAAGCTGTCTGTACCGTGGGGATGGCCGAATTCATTAGTTCCCCTCCCCGCTCCCTGCTACCATCCAGCTGATCTGCAGGTGACTCCCGTGGTCTGCATACTCTCTACACACTCCTTCCAGCCTCATCTGTATTCATTTCTCTCTCTCGTTGCCTCTTCTGCCTCTCGATCCGCCATCGCCATCGCGATTACCGTTGGGATACAGTACATGCATCGTCTTGCGTGCGAATGGGGAAGGATTGGGGAGCGACATCCGTGTGCCTTGGGTCTTAGTATTGGGTGCACGATGGTACCCGCGGGTCGTCGTCGTCATGGGATGGCGGTGGCCAGGCATGGCGAGGCAGTCGCAGACACGTTGGGTTGTCGGGAGCATGGGCAAGCGCTGTGTATAAAAGGATGAGAGCATCATCGGGAAGACGGCCTCCAGGCAAGAGCATTTACTTGCCGACGCATCAAGGAGCACACAGTACGCCGTTATATTACCTGAAATTATCATGACCTTAACGTTTGCCAACAGAACTTTACCAGTATTATTTCCCGCCATTTCGCTCTTAGTCGGCAGTCGGCAGTCGGTAGTTGCGGCCAAAACGGGTCAGATCACGTGCGTATGCTGGATTTAGTCCGGCTAGGTCCGGCTCCGGCGGCACCAGCCTGAGTAGTTTCTTCGTTGAACACCACCAAGTGCAAGTACCCCGCTTATTTCGTTTCGTTGAACAGTGCGTGCCGAGGTCCTCATCTACTCTGTATATGGCTGATTTGGACTGTAGGTAATGGAAACTGAATTAACCCCCAAGATGTCTGTTCTCGGCTTGGAAGCGTCAGACATGGAGTGTTTGGCCACGCCAAAGGCACCCAATACGTCTGTTCCCTCCAACTTTCCCCCAATCTAACGTACCTCGTAAGGCTCGCGCTACCCGTAAACCACGTACCAAGCCCAAGGGATTTCCCTTGATGCTCTGGGGCTGGCCACTTGACGAGAACTTCTTTGTTCCCGACTCCCAGAACCACCTGGATTGTAGAGATGACATCGGCGAAATATACCGTCGTATACATCCTATCCTTCGTGAACATCGCCTCATTTACCGCCTTCCCATCAAGGCTATCAATATCAAGTCCAAACCGAATCTCGTTCTCTACTTCGCCACCAATCAAAGCCCATCTAGGATGAAGAAAACGGTGAAGACGGAGGAGGTGGAGAGATTTATGGAGGCTGCAGGTGGAGCTCCGCCTCCTTAATGGGTTCGGACGTCAAACTTTTCTTCGGAGCGCTATGTCGGCCCTGTGAGGATGGGTTGCGCAGCTGTTTTTGATGAAAAGACTGGACACAAGCGGTGCGCGACTGGGTTCGAACCTTCGCAGGCTTCCAATCCGGTTGCACGGGCCGGTCCGCTGGTCTTCCCCATACAACTGGTAGTTCGTCGCGCTAAGGCTGGACGGCCGATTCAGCTCAAGTCCGGGTGGGTATTATACCACACCATCAGCATCGCTGTACGCTATCGTTCTGTCGGACCCGTTGATGTATTACTTCTGTGATGCAATAGATAGCATCACCGAACAGACCTCGATTTCCGAAGCAACGCCGTGGTCGTTGTTCTTCTATCCTACGTTCACTGGCAGGTAAAGTTCTCGGCACAGAACGTGGTTGTTATTTGAGCACTAGAGCACTGGGCGTTTCTTGCTGAATGGTATAGGTCTCTGACTCATTGGCACACGTTACTAGCGTAGCGTAAGCACAGCCAATCCAGCAACTGTGACGCAAGCTCCATATGGTATACTGTACACTACTATCACCTTCGTCTAGCAACAAACGAAATTTTTGAAGCATTCACATGTTTTATCCGGGCCTGAAGATGGTATCGGAAAGACTGATGTTCTTTTACCGATACATCTTGATAACCCAATCGGTCCTTTGGATCCATCAGAGTCGTCTTTTCTCTAATT